GCTACTAGTGGGGTAGCTAATCCCCTGGCAGAGTCTTCCAAACTGCCCATGGCAAACATAATCGCGGAGATTTTACTATGGCATATATAGTTGATTTAAAAGACGTGAAATATTCAAGACCGCTCTCTGTACTTGGACCTTGAAGGAAGTAGAGAAAAAGAACATGTATACATAGCATGAGCTACAAAGCTGGAATATACTTCAATAAATAAACTTATATAACTAATTTTTATATTTGAATCAAAAAATTCTCTATAAAGAAATTATTTGATATAACGAACACCACATTCCCCATAATAGAAAATATCGAAAGTATAAATTAATTTCTAAATTTTCAAGGGTTGAAATAAATTATTTATTTTTATAATATAATTCCAAATAAATTAATAGGAATTTTCGAGGTATATCGGCTAAGCATACTAAAAATAAATACTATTTTATAGAGCAAGAAATAAGAAAAATATTCAAATTTAAAATGAAATTTATTATAAAGAAGATTAATATTCCTTTATAATAAATTTATTTCTTATTATTATAGAATTCGAAATTTAAATAAAAAATATCTACTAAAAATCATAGAACTTATTTCTTATAAATAAAATTCGATTAATCCTCAATTTCAAATATTTATATAGATTTTCCGAGTATATGAATTTTCTATATATCTCTATTTATACATTTATTCTAATATTAAGATATTATTCTATCCTATTTCAATCAAATTTAAGAATAATACCGAAGTAAACAGTAATATGTACTTCTCTTTATTTCAAAAATATTTTTTTGGGTTTTCGATCCTTATCAATAATTTCATATTATTCAAAATAGAAAAAATTCAAATTTTTTATCCAATATTTATGATGAGTTTTATTTGAAATTACAATATATCTCTGTATAAAAATTTAAGTCAATTTTATAGAATCCTTATTTGTGATTTCTATGATCTACCGAACTATAAATATGAGAAATATGATAATACCTAGCAAAATTCGAATATTTCGCAAATACTTGTTTGGGCTATACTAACTGCAGCCCAGATTCATGTGCCAATTACTTGAACTGCGTTCATCTCTATTTACCTTCTAATGCGCAAGACAAAGGCACGAAGGGTGGGGGAGAAACGTACGAGGTCCATACGACAAAGCCTGCCGAAACTGAGTCTTAATGGGGAACAGGGCAGGCCAGAATATTGGGTTTTCCAGCCACCTTCACGCGCTGGCCTCTGACTTCGAGGGGAGTGGAGACCACTTGCGAAGGTGAACAGCTGCGAAAGTCTGCCATCATCGCCTGTGAACTTGTCGAGCAGGTTTGCTTCTTCAGAACTTCAGTTGCAGGCCCAGCGTTAGTATTTGGAGTTCTACACTCAAGGCTTGACATTTGGACCGAAGGCTTCAGCCGGGCATGTATAATCTGCAGCTGCAGCTAAGGAAGTTCGGCATCCGTGACTCCGGTTATGGTTGAACGCAGCACAGCATCTGACGCTCGGTAACAAGCAAAAACTAACATCGGTAGGACCTCACTTAATGTCGATGTCTGGGCATCGCGAACTTCCAATTCGAAACCTTTCCGATCTGTACTCTGCCCTTCTCTCTCCTTGTACCGTCCTGCCTCATACAGAACGAACGGACCAGCAGCAACAATGTCCATTCAAAAGCTCCCTCTACGTGCCTCAGGACAACTCCAGTAACTCCAAGAGGGTGATAGCCAGCATTAACCTGGATCATCCGGCCATGCTCGAGCACTTGCAACCAACAATGTTGAGTTGGGGCTTCTGCCGGGCGAACAACTCCGACTCCTGGGGCTCGAATGACGGGCCTCGGATATGCCGATACCTTGGCAGGCAAGGCTCTGCAGCAAACCGCCATCGCTCTGGAAGAGCTGAGAGTCGAGGACTGCCGCCAAAGCTGCCGGAATGGGAGGCCGCGCAGTGACGGTTAGGGCCGCGCGTCGCGCGCTGACCGTGAGGGGAGCGCGCATGTTAGGCGGCACAACGGCACCGGCGAATGGTCGCAGGGGTGCCGGCCTCGCGTGTTGTCAAGAAGATCTCTTTCACTACATCTTCAGTATGAATTTCCGGACTGGGAATGAGATGCATCTCGGCTGAAAACGGTGCCTGGCCGCCGAAGCAGCTTGCAACCTGGCAGGGATTACTCAACAAAGCGCACATCGGCGCCCATTTGCCAACACGCTTTCTTTCAGCTTGAGCTTGAGTTCTGCTCATGCAGTATCACCGCAGCAGTGTGTAGGCAAACTGCCTGTTCTGGCTGTTCCTGTAAGCCACGCAAAAGCAACGGCTGCCCTGGCCTTTGAGCCATCGCCAAGGTCGCAGGGGAAGGCTTCGGAGTCGCAGCCCTTGGTGGACAGTCCAGGTTGGACGTCGGCTTCAACTTGAACGTGCAACAAGCGGTCTTTGCACCAACAGTCTGACCTATCTTCTGGGAAAGGTGCGGCCGAGTCGGCGTAACGAGAGTGGGCCGAAGCCTTTCCGGTGAGGTGGTTGGCAAGCTTGGAATGTCTCTTCTGAAATGCGGAATACAGAGATTCCACCGCAAACATCGGTGACATGCAGCACGAATGACTTGTCAAGACCTATGAGCAACATCGTTGATCTAAGCTACCGAGCATGCCCTTGGAGCATGCTGCAGCTCCAGCCTCTTGCTAGGGTCGTCAACCGTGCTAGTCCCGGAAACAGCACTCAACGGGCGCTTGACCTTGCGAAAACACTTGGGCAGGGCAGCATTTGCTACGAACATGGGCCATGCTCGGCGCCTAAAGCTGAGCCAGTGGCACCATTGGTGGAGCCGTTTGCCAGCACTGTGGCCTTCGGTCAACTTCTGTGCGGTTCTTGAGCGTTAGGAACAGTGTGGACCAGGAGGACGGCAGTGTCCCACGATTTCGAGGACTCGCACTCGGCAATGTACCTCACACAGCCAGGAGCATGAAGACACAATCCACACAGCAAGCTTAGACTGGGCGGCTTCCGCCTTTTGCTGTCATAGTGATGTTGTATCTTCGAAAGCAGCGCACGTCTCCAGTTCGTCATCAACCGCCGTGTCTCCCTCACAATACAATATCACAGGTGTGAAGCGCATCAGCTGCAGCGGGCGAAGAAACGAATGCACTGTCACTGCTGTGCTTCGACAGATCTTTCCTGGTGAAACCATGGGATGCATGTCAGTGTGAGCCCAGAGCTGCGCCTTTGGCTTGAAGTGCGCGATGACGTACCGCCGCCTGTCGAATCTTGCGAGCCCAGTCTCAAAGTCGATGCTCTGGCACATTACCATGTGAAAATTTCACTACACCGTGCAGAATCGCATAGTCCGCGGTCAGATGTGTCACGGCTCAGATCAAGAGAGCACGGAGCTGAATCTCGGAAGACACTTCGGCATCTGCTAAGACGTTCAAGTCCTGACACAGGCGCACCTAGAGGGTAGCAGCTTGGTCAAAGCGGTCTTTGTCCGCGTGACATCAAGCTTCCATTTTGCGACCTGGGCAGCCAGCAGTTCCGAGGCAGTGTTGCGCCTAGTCACCGACCTACAGGAAAACCAGGGGCTGCACGAAGAGTGCTATCAGCCGCAAGTCTGCTACTGCAGAGCCTGTCAGAGTCAAGAACCTCAAAAGCTCGTCGAGGACCTTGGAGCCGCAAGTCCCACGCCTCCTGTGGGAGGCACAACTGCCGAGGTGACCGTCGTGGCCTGGCTCGCAGTCAAGCTGCGCATCCACAGCACAATGAAACCTCTTCGCTGCGTAAAAAGACTGCCTCTCCCCGATATGCCGTTGCTGAGGGGCTGGCCGCTAACGGCGATGGCGTAGATAGAAGGCTGGTCCTGGGCCGGACCTGGGACGACGTGAAAAGCAAGCTCCGAATCAGCTGAGGATGCGTGAAGTGAAACGCTCCGGAAGCTTTGATAGACCGCGATCTGTCCGCAGGGTCTGTGGAAAGGAATAAATGCCAGCTCAATCTTCGCTTCTGGAGGCTCATGGCTTCGGCAGGCTTGAATCTATGACCACAAGATTACAACATGATTCTTCAAATCGCTGGCAGCGCTTTTGCGCATTGCGGATTTGGGTCTGATCCATCATACAGACAGGGCTGAGGCTACTCTCTACTAAGCTTCGGCGATGGCACCGTCGTTGACAAAGCAAGGAAGCCACACACCTTTCTCAACGAAACAGGCGAAGCCTGCGAAAAGACACATGGTCTGCGGGGCAGGATGGTTGGGCTTCGTGCGGCTCAGGATGGCTTGGCTTGGCCAAGCTTCGGCGAAGGCGGAGGGTTGGAGATGGGGGATGATGGGGAGGCTGCACGTCACAACCTGCCAGTGGATAGGTTGATGATGACCAAACAACAAGCCTCCTATCGGATGCTAAGCTTTTCAACATCGAAGCTCCCGGTCCCAGTACATGTGTGGCATTAGCTTCATTGACAAATGAAGACCAAAACAGCAGCACACTTCGTGTTGGTCTGTAGTTTCTGCAGCAACAGTGATGGGGATCCCAAGAGGGATAAATTGGCTTGCCTTGGCTGGGCTTAGGCTGGGTCGGCTCTTGGCTTCAACAGGGCAAGGGTGGCGGCGCTTGCCAGTGATAGTGTTTCGACGACGGCGAAGCAATAAACACCGTCTTGGATGCTGGCCACTAGAATCACTAGAATAACGGCTGTGTAATCCTTCTGAAACATTATGGATTAGGCGTGGGCTGAGGGGCTTTGCCGTTGTGACTGCGCTTGCTGTTGGTCATGTCCTCGCTAGTAACACTACGAAAACTACCAAGTGCACGAGATGGCAGTACGCCGTAGCTCCGAACCATCGTCCACATGTCGGATGACAAACAGACGGACCGACTGTTTGTCAGAGAACGAACCGACAAATGTAAAAACAAACAACATTGCTGTACAACCACGGTCTCGGGCAAATCCGCGCGGGAGATCTGGTGGAAGCTTGACCTGCCAAGAAGTCAGGGCTTGGTTGACGGTCCTTCTTCTGACGTCAAAGTGAGAGCCAGGGCTGTCTTCTGTGTTGACACTGTGCAAAAGGCGAGCGCGCCTCCGACAAATCCGGTGGATCCGGAGCCCCGGCCTTTCGAAACGCACTTGCAGGAGTTTGCAGTGTGGCACTCAGCATACTGTACAGCTTTTGTCAGCGATTCATGCAGAACATGTCTCAAAAGCCACGGTTCCCGCATCCACCCTGCCATCAGGGCCCTTCGACATCAAGCGCGACGGACAGCTCAACAGTGTGGGCATGTGGTGCTTCGCTGTACTGTTTCAGGTGGTTCGAGTGGCAATCGTGTGGCCACCGCTTCATTGTGGACAGACGGCAGCAGGGCATCACTGACCCAGTACTGCCCAAATCCAACGGAGGAATCTCACATGCCGGGCAATCTCCAGTGCCTCACCGACCGTGCGGGCGTGCACTTGTTGCTCAGTCGGAAGACCTAACCGACCACGAGCATCAAACTATGCGACCCCACGCTGGCTAAAGCGCTGCCCGGATGCAGGGATCTAGAGGGGGTCTAGACGGCCAGAGAACAGGTGAACCGTGAGGAGCTTGAGGCGATGGTACTCCGCCGCGGGCGACGTGCGCTTGCGCCCAAATTGATGTTTTGGGTTCCGTTTGCTAGATGGCTGGGGTTGTCAAGGAACGTGGAGAGATTTGCCTCAGCCACTGTATCCTGCGCAGGCTCCGGCGCCTCCTCTTCTTCCTTCCTCGGCAACTCGTTCGAAGATCTTTGAAAGTGTTTAATTCCACCTCCTCGTCCTAAACAAAGGCGGGGATTGCTCTGCCAAGCAAGGGTCCCCGCTGGGCGGGGAAGGTTCAGAAGGAAATCCTCCGTCAATTTCAGCCGCTCCCAGCAGCAGTAGACTCCACTCCTGGTCCTCACCCGCGGTGCTTCTACTGCGAACGATGTTGTGCTGCTGTGAGCATGGCAGCATGTCGCCTTACATGTACCACCCACTTGACTCGGGCGTGCATGCTGCACTAAACAGCGCAACGCTGCCAACCCTGAGTCCGAGCCGACGCAGCTTGCTACCACCCCTGCACCCTAGGACGTTCGGTGTTCTACAAGCCCCATCACAGCAATGCATGACTCGGGACATGTGGCCTCGCGCCGGTGAACTTCTATAAGTTGGAGGTCTGTCTTCATCAGGTCGTCTCGCCACATCTGCCAGGACAGTAGCTATGATGCTTACCTTGTTACCTTGTGTATGCTCACCATTAAATGTCCTTCGTGGGCTAAGCCTGAGGAACATAAGTGCCTGGTCGCCGTTTCTACCAGCATCACCACAAGGGCCGCTTTTCGGCGGGTGCTCTATGTCTTAATTCAGCCTCAACATAGGTTTTCTTATTGCTTCATGTTCACTTCGATTCAATACCCCCCCCCATCGGTTGATTTCAGGCCCCCGCCCGGTCGGTTGACTATTGGGAGGGGGCTGAGAGGGCTGACAAAAGGGTCTCAAGTGTTCTTTCAGGAACCAGGGAAGGGATTTGTTATTGAGGTTTCGGGATCGGTTGTTGCAACTGAAGTGGTGTTGACAATTGAGTTTCCGGACTCGAGTCTCTTAATTAAGGTGGGAAAGATAAATGTTGCCTCCCTCTCCTCTCCGGCCCTCGACAGGACATCCATGTGGTAACGAAATTGGAGCAGTCTTGGTCTGGCAGGATGCATGTCGTAGATAGTGTGACCTGCGTTTGAAGCATTTCGAGTGTGCTGCAATGTAGCTGCTAGCTGTGGCCAAGCAGTGGCTTGGAATATTGCAAGATATAGCCAACCAATGCTTCGGACGGCAAACATGCGCTGCTCGACCCCGTTCTTGAAGTAGTCCTCCACCTGAAGCAATCGGCTTCTACACAGAATGAATCTTGTTCGGGAGCAACTGCATGAATTTGTGGAACATATTGCGCGGTTCAGCTTCCCGATCGCATTCCTCAAACACCTGTGCTCCAAGTTACCCCGCAACTTGTTCAAAATATCGCGCACCCCGAAGACCCCGAATTCCTAGCATCACGGACATGACTGAGCACGCTAAGCATTTCTTTTGTTTTTCTGAATCTGGCAGCCTATAGTTGCAAAGACTTATGGTCGCTCCCCCTCCGGCCTCTGCAACGGCGTAGAGGCGTCTAAGCTCTTTGAAGAGCTCGGGACCCGTTTTCGCGAGTCGTTCATCCTCGTGAGAGTAGTTTGGCATCTTGTGTTTCGGGTTTCAGAGTCTTGGGCTAGTGGCTGAAGGGGTGTGAGGAGGGCTCCGGGAAGGTGCGTAATTGGCAAGACACTGGAAGCCTGAGCAATGCCATGCCAAGCCCGCATGTCGTGGAGAATCACTCAACCAACCAAGCTCTAGCAAGTTTTACTGGAAGGCAGGGCGTTGTGATACCTGTGTTCCCAACCCCACTCAAGCATTCAAAACCATCCTCCCGCACCTCTTCTTCCCCCATGGCATCGCTCATTCTTCAGGGGTCTTCGACACCCCCTGGCGAGCCGTGCACAGCTCTTGGAGCCAAACTGTCGCAGTGAACATCAGCAACTTGCTCGTAAAATGGGGAGGTGTGGGATCCATGTGCACATGTCCATGTTGGCTCAGGTTGACAGTTAAGAGGACCATTCGCAGCTTCCTCGCCGGCAGTCGAACCAGTCCTCCACAGGCTGATGTGGCATATGATACCGCCCTTCGGCAAGCCCCTTCAAGCGCCCACAGCTGTACATAAGGCCCTGGAAGGAACCTGGAGCTGCCTCTGGCAAGCTTCATCCTGGTTTCGGGGCAGTCCCTTCCCTCCCGTTTTTGAAAATCGCACTGAACCACCGAACTTTGCCACACAGGACATATCGGGGGAAGGAAGAGCCCACATGTTTTGCTCATGCGCTCTACAAGCTGGCTGCAAATTCGCGGACCTTCTGGGAACCTTCGGTTTCCTAAGATCCGTCACCCCTGGTACGGACAAATTGGCTCTGCCACTAGCTGTTCGGCTTCCTTCGTGCAAACCAAGAGATGTTTCACAAGGTACCAGGGCACTGGCATGCGCAATTCACTTCAGCATCACGTGGAACATCTCGGTCATTCCAGCCTCGGCAACTGACAAGGATGCGCAGTAGGAGCTGGAATCGATCTGTCAGGGTTCACATCAACACTGCGTATCATTCACGGAGAACTGAGAGTTGCGCTGCTCGGTGCAGATTAGTCATCGCGAACCTTGAGGCTGGAAGGTGCTGCCTTTACCAAAGGTGGGTGCTCGCTCCTTGTTACGGGCAAAACCTGGGGGGGGGCTGCAAAAGAGCACACTGCGGGAGACAGTGTTACATTATCTTCTCCGATGACTGGGACTTATCTGTGCCTGTGAATTGCTTGAACATAGCTGGAGCATGACAAGTGCAAGGCTGCAGTGCTGTTTCCATGCTCTGGTTTCCTTTGCAGATCTTTCTTTCTCTCCACATATGACAACTTCTTGTTTTCCTCTCCCTTGCCACTCGTGCACAAGCCTAAATTTCCCGGCCTGCAGGCCCATTCGCCAGCATGAGTGGAGCCGGTGACGGGGCATCTGCAGCCTGCGACACAATTACCCATCCTGTCCGGTCTTTTTTCTGTCTTTCTTTTTCTCCGTTCCCTGTACACAATATATGTATATATGATCCCGGTTCGGCCGGCCGCCCCCCCCTCCCCCCCCAATGGTTCCTCCTCCCCGGCGGCGTCTGGCGGCACTGTGGCCACCGTGGTCACCTAGCTGCGGCAACAATCTACACAGCCAGTTCCCCATGTCCCGTCTCGTTACTCGGGCGACCACCTTGACATCTGCATGCAATGGTCCTGCCTCCGGAGTGTCAGCCTGCATCGCGCACCAATCCAGCTGCACTCACGACTTTTCGGCTCGCACTACTTTCCAGAGCCTTGGCCACTGGAGAAGCACTTGCGAGATCTTTCGGAATTGAGCTAGCCTGTCGCATCACACAGGCTCCTAATCCAGAATCTGTCGTGTCAGCGCTTTTGTTCAAGGAACCTCGTCAGCTTTGCTTTCAACCTGCAAGGAGCAACGAAGGCCATTTGTCCTACAACTTCGTCGCCTGACTCTTTCGTGGCCTCTGCCTTCTCTGGGGCCGGCTTCTCAGGCTCTGATGCTCCCTCCACGGCCCCGGTTGCAGCTCCAGCGCCTGCGGCCAAAACGGAAGGCAACTTCATAGAACAGTAATGTCAAGAAGCTTCTTCGTAGGAGCGCAAAAAGACAAGGAAGGGCTGGGGGGACATAGCAAAAGCGCGCACCGATGGCGCAGCGGCGGCCTTCTTCCTGGGCGCTCTGCTCGACCCGGGCAGCCGGGGCCGGGCAGCCTTCCAAGATGGGATGGCTTTCGACCTGAGCCAAGAGAGAACTTACGGGATGGCTCAATTCCTTTGCACCTGGGCCAAAGACGTAGTAGTCCAAGGTAGCAGCATCTAAACCTTCGACCTCAGGGTCATACTCAACCTAGTTGCAAACCCTAAGAAACACGCGCCCAAGAAGACTCAGGGACAGTGGCGAGACCATTGGCATCACTAAGCGTCGCGAAGACCAAGCCCCGGAAGAACTCGGGCAAAAACTCCGCCTGCAATGAGCTTGACCCCGAAGTTCTTCGGATTGAGACTTGTTCTGCGATCCTGGTGGGGTGGTTTCTCTGGAGACCAGCCCCACAGCCAGTCGTGCGAGGAGCCCTGTGCCAGGTTCAGCAAAGGCTTCTCAACATCACGAATCGATCGGACCTCCAGCTGTCTCAAGACCATTCCGTTGCCCTGTTCATCGATCCGATGACCTCGGCTTCTTGGCTCCTGCCGCCTCTCCGGCTCTCTGCACCGGCAAACAGGAGCCCGGCGGACGACGGCCACCACCTCTGCCGAGGCCATGAAGGGCGCCTGCATGCCCGGATTTAACGTCTTCACAGTGCTTCACATCTGCAAGCAGCCCGAGCAACTGATTCCCCCATCATCGCCTGAACATCCTCCTTCTTGAAAGGTGGTGTGCGCCAACCTGCATCACAAGCCAAGTTTCGGTCAAAGGCTGTCACAGTGTCAGACCCTGATGCACTGGCAGGGCCTTTACGAATGCCGATGTGCTCGAAGAAAAAACTGTAGCCGTTGAAGATTTCATGCGAACCTCCAGTGGCAGTGCTTCGTCAGGTGACGCCCCGATCTGTGTCCGGCTTTAGCATCTCATGCGAGTGTACTGTCTGTGCCGTAACCGGAACAGCCGATTGTTCCGAATCTGGCAGACACGCTTGGGGCTTTGGGTTTGGGGAGAGGATCTCTTCGCAAGTCAGGCGGTAGAACAGCACTTGGGTGCCCGGCTATCGCGAATCCAGTCGGTGTCAATGCTCCACCACGCCAAAGCTCCGGCCTGCCATGACTTTGCTGCAATCTCCTTATCTCTACGCCGTACAGGTATTCTTGTGCAGCTTGCAGCATCCCCATGGCAGCGCCTCCTCGGGGAGCTCCTCGGCAGGCGCAGTCTCGGCCTGGCGCTGGCAGCGCAAGCAGGGGGCCCATCTTCGAAGCAACTTTCAAGCTTCCACTCTTCAGCTTTGCTCTCAGAGCCCTGCCGCTCCATCTTCGGTCGAGGCCTGAGACGCCTGAAGGGACCCAGAAACTCATTCCACCCGTACTTTGCTCTCCGAGCTCGCGGCTGCCTGCGTCGTGGCTGCCTCGCTGCTCTCAGGGCGATTGCTGGTAGCTTGCGAACCGTCATAGATCACATGAGTCTAGCAAGCCATTACAGCTGCTGATCATACGGAGCACGCGCACTCGAGTAACCGAGTAACTAGAACAGGCATTGCTCATGTCAATGTGGATTATGTCTGATACCCATGCGTACGGTCACGAACTTTGAGCAAGGCACAGTGGACCGGAGAGGCAAACCCGGACTAGTGTATGCAGCCATATGCAGCCACGCGACGCTGCTGTTGGCCGGCTCCGAACCCTTTGCCTGAGACCGGTTGGGGATGCAACCACGGGCTGCACCTACATGTAGAACCGAAGCAGCATCTCCAGCCTGACGTCATAGCTGAGGCTCCCACTGCCGAACCACCAACACTTGCCTCCAGACTTGACAGTTCTCACAGGACACCAAAGTCATGGCTACGAAGCTTAGCACTCCTCGCCTCGGAGCTGGCAGAGTACTTGGCCTAGCCAGGTGCTCACACAGCGCGAAGTTCTCACTGCGCCGCACAACGTGGCCTCCGATGAGCTGACTCCGCAGCCCATCGCGGGCGGTCCAAGCAAAAAGGCGATGCCGATGCAGTCTCCAAGCTTACCGAACTTCGAAAAGTGCGCGACTTCTCTCACTCTGGTGCTGCTCGAGCAAGTCTCTCTTGCTTGCAGTGCTCGTCATCAGGTCTGACACGGGGTGAGGACCATTCGGGAATGTGGGGGGATTCGGGGCGTGGCTGTTGATTCAGTCAAGGACAAAGCGGGCTTGGTCCGAGGAAAAGGAGCCCCGTCACCAGGCTGATTCTACATGCCGGAATGCAAGAACAAGGCCCAGTTACCTCCACGCAAGAACTGCGACTTTGCTCCAGTTTTTTTGGTGCCGCTTTCATATCTGTTCTCAAAGTCAAAGCATAGAACGAAGGCATGTCCGAACTCAAGCTGTGCAGACGCCTGCTGCAGTGTTGCACGGCATAAACCTAATGCACGCTCATCTCTACAAAGTCTCTCGATCTCTACGGCAAGCACAGCGAATACTACCAAAATCACAATCGTCCTTGCCCACCTGCCTCAAAACTGCTAAAAGTAATCCTTACAGCATACTCACGCTGGCACGGCTTGCCGAAGGCTACGATGATCCCTGCTCGTTCAGGAATTCCTGAAGGACTCTCACATCATGGCCTTGGCTCATGCAGGACCGGAGCCGAAATACCCAGCCTCCCTGGCTAGATGCATGCAGCAGCTGTTTACGTAAACGGAGCCTGCTACCCAGTCGCCCACACACTTCGCTATGCTAGCAGCTAGCTGCTGTCGCATCTTGGCCCTGAACGAGTCGGATCACGAATGCCCCCTTGCCGGTTATCCTTGGAGTGCAGGATTTTGCCACGCCTTTGCAAAAACTCCCGCTATTGGCGGAGTTTTTGCTCGGTGCCGGGCACAGAACTGCCACCTCCATGCATGGTATAAAGATCGGAAGAAGATGTGACTGATCCATGATGCAGCGACCGTCGGCCACAGGTCTAAGTAGTTGACCACTGACGCTTAGTCTCCTCGTTGGATCGCTGCATCGCCTGGCTAACCCAGCCGCGCACAGGGAGTGACCGAGTTTTCTGCCTTTGCTAGGGTCACAAGAACTGGACCCACATGACTCCACGAATCGCCCGAGCTCTTCATGAGTACCAAAAGCAACGCCTATGACATCACCCGATTCTGACCACGAGGAAGCAGTAGCCTTGATCTTCTGAACCAGCGAGTCCTTGCGAGGGTCGTAGGACCTTCGGTTGCCGACCGCTGAGTCCATGGTGTCGACACCGTGCTTCTTTGCGCTTCTCCTTTATCTTTTTTGCCGGACTCTGTAGAGAGCCATGAGAGCCCACCAGGCAATGATCAAGTCCACACTGACGCAAAGGCCATTGCGCTCTACGGCACTCACCTCCCGTGTTGGGATCGGCGAGCAAAAAACTTCCCGTCTCAGGAGTCATCGTCGTCTTCATCCAACCTCATCCCGGTCAGACTGTCAAGAAAGTCGGCGGCGTACCGTTCTTGTAAGAACTTTATTTATGGCATTGTGGGCACGGTAGCGTGTAACCACGACCACCCGTAGTTGTGACTGGGCGGCTAACAGTAAATCTCCTCGGAATTGTGCCGATGCCTGCAGTGCTTGTCGGATGCGGAAATTTCTCAAACTAAGCGCTAAAGCACCAGCCTTCTTCTTGGGCTGCCGCGGCAGGTTGTCCGCGGGTCGCTTGGCATGGGCCTGCCCCAGGCGCACGAATTGAATGGGGGCAGGCTCAGAAGACAGCCGCTAGCCTTCGCGCGTCCCAGCGCGCTGTCTTCAGAGGTCTCGGGCGCCGCTTTGGGCGTCCTGACTGTGACAATGTCCGAGAGGCCACGTCCAGCAGCAACCTTAGGTTCCAGGACAGGGCAAGCGAGCTGGCCGCACGAGGCCAAGGTGTCCAAGCAGCTGCGACTGCGAACACCTGGCCTCCTTCGCCCAACAGAATGGGGCCATCCTGCAATGAAGGCTGCTCAAAATTTCACTTGATGACTCCTTCATTTTCACTTCGGCTGGCCTGTGGCGCTTGCAGAGTTCCTTTAGAGCCGGGTTTTGGCAACGAGCCATCTGCCGTGAACAGCACGGCAGAAGCTGGAGGCAAGGGCCTGCGGAGTCCAGGGCTTGCTACCGGCCTTAGGCCGCCCTAGGCGCCCTAGGCCTGCTTCAAAGCTGGCCTCATGGTCACCGCCCAAGCAGCACCGGAGCCAGGATCGGCCCGCTCCAGCGAGACTTTGGGCGGCGGCGCACGCAGCGCTCCGGAGGCCAAGGCCTTTGCGAGCGGCATCTGCTCCTGGCGGAGGTCCGGACGCTTCCAGCATCTTCCAGCTTCCACTGTTCTGCTTAAAGCTTAAGCTGTGGTCTTGGGATGTCCCGTGCATGTTAAGTCTGCTGAGCAGCCTGTAAAGTGGGCCACGGCAGCCAAAATCCCGAAGGAAGCGGTGCAGCTGGAAACCCATCTGCAGCTTGAGGGAAGCCGACCGGAGCAGCATGCCGCAAGCGAGATGCAAACTTGCAAATGTCATCCTCAAGGAAATGGACAATGGGCAAAAGGGCCGTAGACTGAGAGCGAGAGCTTAAGCGTGACTCTATTCAACAGCGGGGTATCGCCGACAAGCCGGAAAGAGCCCCGCAGGCCATCATCATAGATCCAAGCGTCCAAATCTGGAGGATTGAGGTCCTTGGCTTCCACGCCCTTGCTTGCCAGCGTCTTGCCACGGTTTGCAAGGTCCTGGGGATGTTGGGTGACTCATGCCTCCATCGTACTGCTTAGGCCGGAAGGGCCCCGGGCCTCGACCTCTGTGAAGACCTTCAGCAGATCATCGAAAGCCCGTGCCGCATCAGAGCCAGCCGGCCCAGCCATGACTCAACCCCAAACCAATCCCGCGGATGAGGCTCGACCGGGGTGTGCTGCTACTGTGACCGAACCACAGCTCGGGTTGCATCACGGTGATGCTGAGTGTACGCAATAACTTCGAACCCTTGCGTTGTTGCACCTGCACGAAGGTCTTTAGTTTCGGAGGATTCAACGCGTAATGCAAACGCGTCTAGCTGGAACTGACAGGTCGATAATGTATCCGCTTCTGAAGCAAACCTGTGATGGCTGAGGAGGCTGCGACAGCAGCTGCTGCGACAATGTACTCTCAGGTGCCGCACCCTCGTCACTGAGCATCCGGCTCATTCCAATCCCAGTAGTTGTAGCCAGCATCCAGAACTGAGCCATACATGGCCTGCAATTCAAGGCAATGCCACATTGCAGCGGCTGTTGCCAAGTGTCTACAGATTAACCAAAAACCTAATGATCTCCAGAGTAGCTCGACCTATCCTCGACTCATTTTGGTGCCTGAGCTCCCGGCCATGCATCCTCGATATGCCAGGAAATCCATGAAGCCCACCCTTTCAGGAATCACGAACTGAGGTGCCCTCACGAAAGCTCGTGTGCCCTCTTCACGCTTGCAGGCGGCAGGAAAGCGGAGTTGTGCTTGTAGGGATCATTCCTTGCCGACGTCAGGGCAATGGGCACATGACCAACGCGTGACATCCGACGAAGGAGCCGGCACGCCATGCCCAAAACGTTGGCAGTACAGGGTCCATGCCTTGTCGAGATGCAGGAGAATCCTAACCCCCTAAACCCTAAACTCTAAACCCTAAAGATCCTCAAAAGGCCGCCGTAGGCAGGAGACGCCGAAGCATGCGCTGAGCCGGAGGCCTGCTGCCAATGGTGCGAGTTTCCTCGGATGCTGTTGCTCGAGTGGTGACACTGGTGACTTTGACGTCGCTCCTCATGCTCATCGGCTCTCGAGCACGAAGCCAAAGGAAGCTCCAAGGTGCTGTGCAGGCGAGGCTCGCTGCCCGGTTTTCACAAGCTCTGCGAGGGTTTCCACTTCTTGGTGCAGGGACGCTGGAAGGCAGGGGGAACCCTGCTCAGAGGCTTGCGATGCAATCTTTGGACAGAAGCCTTGTACGTACGAAGATAACAGGCGATAACACCATTTTGGACACAGGCAGACAAAGACAAACAGCCAGGCAAACAAATGCATACTGGCACAGAAAGGCAGACGAGACACGAGACTCTCTTCCCCTCACCCACACACACACACACACCCGCAGACCAACAAAAAAACACATGCCGAGCCCTCTGCGAGTATGCACGGATCAAGCCGCACTGCACTGGAGAAGCACAACACTGCCGCACTTGTGGGATGGTATTTGCCCTGTCTTATACTCTTTGCACTTCCATCCCTCCCCTTCCACCCGCAAAGGCGCGGGCTCTCAGGAGCAGGAGATTCCAAGCGACCTGTCCGAATGGGAACTTCGAGAATTCCGAAGTCAATTCCCACGCAAAGGAAGCCTCCAGCATTGTACTGTGCCACAAACTCTTCAAGGAACCTGCAGCCATCAGCAAATTGCTTTGCTTCGGTTTCGGGCCTATGATGCCACGTCTGCTAGAGTGACAGCCACGGGCAGTTCTGAGCATCGCGCTCAGGCGTGTGCTTGCTGGGATCCCGCACCTTGTGAAATTTCAGAATTCTCACAGTTTGCATTCAAGCTTCATGATGGAACATCAAACAAACACTTGGGTGCCAGGCTCCGTTTCCACGAGTGTCGCACCAAAGGCCTCCCAAGCAGAGTTTCCAATGCCGAGACAGATCTCCTGTGCCCGAGAGATTTCTGAGTTGCTGACCCCATTGTTTTCGGCCCTCTTGGCTTCCCTTCTGGATCTCCTCAGACGCGCACGCTATGATGACTGCGACTGTTCTTGCATCGTGCCGCATCATCTACACCACCGGGAAGGCGAAACGTCATGAATCATGAGCGTCCTTCACCTTGGCAATGGCTTCGGACGCCATCGCCATGACGCCACAGAGCAGCCACCCCTCTCTGATCTTGTCCCGGGCTGTGCTGTTTGTGTGGATACGAATGCACGAAATGCGAGTGTCGGCTGTTTCGCTTTGTGGCGAATCACGATGCATGTTTCAAGCGAGCTTGGCAACGGCCACGGAACAGCAACATTCACCGACCGGGCCGTCGTGTCCGCATGCTAGGATCTTCTGGTGCCCCCACCTAGCAAGACTCAGCCAGCAAAATTGCCTCTCGTCACCCTAGTCGTCAACTCGTTGTCATGACGCGGCGTACTTTTCAAGAAGGGGGAGCCGCTGTATCTACGAACTTTGACTGCGTTGTGGAGCCAGCACAATGATGACTTCAAAATCTCTGGCCGGTGTGGCCAAAGTCATGACATAAACCAAGTACAGTAGTGACAAAGGCAAAAATCATCAATATCACGGTTGCTGTTGCAATCTGCACAGGCTGTCATACGGTTGCTGAACTTCATGCGTCTTGGCCTCCCTGATTCTTCGTGCCCTGTGATGGATATGGTCGGCATGTGAAAACTCGATCTCAAGCAACCCAGCTGCGATCGCGGCCTGTTTCTGAATGGCTTCTGCTGACGGAAGTATGCCACTTGCGGTTTCGCAGGGCACTGCCAGCTGTGAGCTGGTGAAACCATGCATCCACTACGCTTCGCCGGGCCTGCTGAGCCCTGCCGCTAGGCCTTGGTGAAGCAAATGCTCGTGTGGCTTCGGAGTTTCATGAGTTCCGGTTCGACGTCTTCTGATGTCCTGCAAGTTCGGGGAACCGAGAACATTGCAAGATCGTCGCGGAGCTGCTCGATCGTGGCATCGCGCTTGCGGATCTGCACGCAAGCTGTATTGCTGTGCAGACAATGGCAGAAACACACTCAGTTCCCCCAAACTCCCATCGCAAGAGCCAAGGCTTGTGGCCGTGTGAGCCCGGATACGGATGTTCTGAAGATATGCAGAAAGCCGTTGGCTTGTGCCGCCAAGCCTTAGACCACAAACTCAAAGCATGTTCCAGCCTCCTCCAGCGCACGCTGCTCGCCAGCTTTTGCCTGCGGGCTGAAAGTTCCAGGCGAAGTTGTTGCCCGGTTTGGCCTGTAGGCACCAACCCACGCGCGTTCTGACATGATATTTACTTGCGGATACGTTTGAAACGTCTAGCCACATCTTGTAGTACATTTTGTGTTCATATGGTTACACAGCACGTTTTTGTATTGTCACATGATTGCAGCAACACGTATGTCGAATGTTCATGCAGCCATATACAATCCAGAAACCACCCATGCAGCCTTGACCTGTCGCTGCCGCGCATCTTGGAGTTGCCGGACCTCTTATGTTCACACAAGACTGACTTCTGTGCCATCTGACCTGATGGTTGGATTCATGTGTTGCTTCATTGTTGCGACCGCCTCGTTGCAATCTAAGAGTAACGCCAATGCTTCTCTTGCTGGTGTACAGCTTGGCCAGGCCACTTCGAAGTTATGATGTATGTGCTCAGGCTTAGATGGAGCTCACGTCTGTTTTTTCGAGTGTGGGATGTGACCAGCGTTGCGTGCTTTGCGTGTCTGCGCCCCCATCCTGCTACTGTGCCGCTGAAGCCGGCCCAAGTTTCCTCCCGCCCGCCCTCCCCTGTGGTTTTCGTTACCGGGCTTTGTGTTGTCAGGCATTTCCATTGTACTATGGGCTAGTGTTCCATGGAGCGCGCTGCTGACGAGTGCACAGACCGACCATATGGAACTTATGGCAACAATCAACAAGGACCGGGAACGAGCAGCAGCCACGGTCAATAGAATCGCCGGGTTGATCATCGTCACCATGTCAACAATCGAAACAATAGTAGTTGAATGTTCACCTGGCCTGCCCGAACACTGAACAACACTGTGGTAGCTGCTGTTGACGGTTCTTATCCTGAATATGATTCTGAATAAACTTGCTGGGAATGATGATTCTGAGTGAGATGACTGTGGTTGTTGCCGATGCATTTAGCTGCAGTTCTAGCACAAGCGATGCTTCGGTCACGAACAAGGCCCTGACAGCGTCTCGGATTTGCTCTATGAAATCCTCCTCCTCCTGGCGGCTACAGGCCTCGGTCGCGGTCGCTACGGCTCTTATCACCACAAGAGATGCCTTCTACATCCTTCTACAGGCAGCCCGGTCCAGGCACAGCTCGACAAGCATATTTGCATCCTACCTTCTGCAGTCCCGACATTCCCGGCATCTGAATATCACGAAAGGCAACTTCTGAAACAAGAACAGTGAACTGGAGTGGGAAGTAATGTTGCACTCGTGAAAGTCAGAAGATGAGAATCCATTCGGCATGGCTAGCCAAACAAAGAGCCCGAAATCCCTCGAGCCCGTGCAGCCACTTCATCGACAGAGGTACAGCGTCAAACCTTGCAAACCTGAGATTGTGGACGAGAGACTGTTCCGGCTGTGAATTGCCCAGAATTATCAGTCACAGGATTTGTGAAATGCGCGCTTCAGTGCAACGCATCCGAATCTGGCACAAGCCACTCAAAAACTCACATGTAGGTGTCCGAACGCCACATGCTGCGGCACCGCGGATCACCGCAGCTCGAGGAGTTCCGAGCCTAAATGAAGACCAGCTTTGGATGTCAATATCCATAAGGTCGTAGGTGTCAATATGAGACCATGAAAACTGTCATGATCATGCGATAGGATGTTGCAAGTAAACCAAGAGAGCTTAGTCACACTGAGCGTGAGGCTCGTAGCTGTCAGTTTGTGCCTCACCATCTTGCACCTTACTCTCACGGCATGACAGGAACGGCTCGTCGATGCTAAACCAGGCCAGGAGTCCGGCAGTGGCCGGAAGCTTTACGTCGCCTGCAAGGTTAAACGCCAAGTCATCACAAAACATGCCTGTTGACCGAGGAGATGGGCAACTGGTTGTGCGAGCCGGACTTATGAGGTAGAGATCCACACAAGTACGTTCCCATCTCTGCCATAGCAGCTCGCTTTTCAAACTTGCTTTGCAGCACGCCGCCAGGTGCTGGCACACCCTGCTGCCGGCAACGACTGGAAATGACAGCTAGCTTCAGCATGCGCTGGCAAGGGCCTATGAATCTCGATGCATGGTGCGCTGGCAAGGGCCTATGAATCTCGATGCATGGTGCTGCAATGCAGTGCTCAAGCTACAAAAACGCTCTTTCCGAGGCAGCTGTCCGAAGTGGTCTCAGATCGGGAAGGCACGGGCCACGGCTGTCGCGTAGTGCGCTGGCGAGCGCACGGCACCCCCATCCAGTTGGTCGAGCACGGTGCGAAGTGTCTGTATTGCCCAGGGCCTTAGGCAGGCACATGGGACATCTTAACCTGAGTTTCTGAAGAGACTCTTCAGCCGGCCGAGAAGCATCGCCCAGAAGTGCGTGCCGCCCTTGAATCCGAGCTGCCAGCCTGAGCTTAAGACCCCAGTAGGCCCAGTAGCTCCACGATTGCTTTCGTGCTGTGTGATGCCGCAGCATGGGCACACTGCACTGTCGATCACATGCTGGAAGCACCAAGAGTGGCAGCTGCTTCACGGTTGGAAGCCTCGTTGCCGTCCCTCTCGCATGCCCCCCGCAAAGGCAAAGAGCTGACCCGTATGAAAGCTTTGCGGGTTCTCGCGATCAATTCCGAAGACTGTCGAAACACGCCGGGCCCGAACTGGCAACCCGCCCAAAGCCCATCCAGACTTTAGCCTGAAGTTAAGCCAACCCATAACTTGTATATGCAAATCTCTCTGTGCGTATTTGTACCTGTGTGTATCTGTATGTACGCCTACAGTCTACACATACGCATATGTATAAAGCCAACAAACTTACAACACTGATACATGTATGCATATAAGTATATAATCCGCCGAGGCCGGAGGCCCCAGGCGTTTTGATCCGTGGGTTCGAGCAGTTTGGCTGGCTAACAGCAGAGTAACCCACCCCGGGGGGTCGGTCGGCTCTAATTTCGCTGCTTTTTTGGCGGGGGAGCCGGCTGCGCGGCGCGGCTTCGCTCCTGTTCCTAACCTCGACTACCGTTGCCGAGGCGGCCTCGCGTTAGCGAAAAAATTATGTATGTCACTGTGTGTATGTGTGCATGCATGTGTGTGATAACCGAACGAAAATAATCAGATCAATGCTCACACTCACACATACACACATGCACATATCATATTACTTATACATATATATATATATACATATATATATATATACATATATATATATATACATATATATATATATATATATACAATTATGTATGAATATCTATGTATG